ATCACCGAGTCCATCGAGCAGGCTGGTTACACGGGCAAGATCAGCATTGCCATGGACGTTGCCTCCAGCGAGTTCTACAAGGCCGACGTCAAGAAGTACGACCTTGACTTCAAGAACCCCGAGAGCGACTCCTCCAAGTGGCTCACCTACGAGCAGCTGGCCGACCTCTACAAGTCCCTTGCCAGCAAGTACCCCATTGTCAGCATTGAGGACCCCTTCGCTGAGGACGACTGGGAGGCCTGGAGCTACTTCTACAAGACCTCTGACTTCCAGATTGTCGGGTACGTACCCTGCTCCATGCAACTTCTCCGTTAGGGTTGTTCGTTGCTAACTGATTTGTTTTTATAGTGATGACTTGACTGTCACCAACCCCCTGCGTATCAAGAAGGCCATTGAGCTCAAGTCTTGCAACGCTCTCCTGCTCAAGGTCAACCAGATCGGTACCCTTACCGAGTCTATCCAGGCTGCCAAGGACTCCTACGCTGACGGCTGGGGTGTCATGGTCTCCCACCGCTCCGGTGAGACCGAGGACGTCACCATTGCCGACATTGCTGTCGGTCTGCGCTCTGGCCAGATCAAGACCGGTGCTCCTGCCCGTTCCGAGCGTCTGGCTAAGCTGAACCAGATCCTCCGTATCGAGGAGGAGCTCGGTGACAACGCCGTCTACGCCGGCGAGAAGTTCCGCACTGCCGTTAACCTGTAAATGCAGCCATTTTCCGTATAATGTCACCCAGTGCAAGACCCTAGCGGTCCCCACTAGCCCTTCCCAGCGGCTGCAGAACCGCATCGTTGGGGATGGAACTAGGCGGCGAAAACATCAGAGATGATCAAGATTTATGATGACGAATTCAAAGGCCAAATAATTGAATTTAGTGGCACATAATGAAAAAAAATATTTCTTTTCACCCTTCAATTTATAGAGAGTTCCTATTGTTTCCCCTAAGTACAATGTAGATTGATAGATAGCAAGTAGTAAGATTGGGCATCACGGGCAATCCCGCGTGCACGTGACCATGCCGCATGCCCCACGGGATCAGCCACTCGGTCGTTCAAACAAATTCCATCCTCCAGCAGTACCTCGTCAACGACACCAGTTCCTCTGTGTGAGACTTACGCTTATCACCGGCTTCACTGCCAGCCACGCAACTCACTTTCCAGCTTGTCATTTTCGCCCCAAACTTGACGACTCTTGCCCGCCATGGCTCCTTCAAAGTGGGGTATGTCCTCTTTTGGATTTTTGTGGCCCTCGCCCGCCATAGGAATATACATTGCGGGACAACATGGCAAGCCATTCACGATACTGACGGCTTCATTCAGATGACGAAGAGGAGAGTGTCTCTCCCCCTCCTGTGGTTGCCCGCCGCAAGTTCGACGATGAGGAAGAGGAGGATGTAAGTTTTTTTTTGCCGCCCCTCCCCCTCCCTTTCCATTTCTGCCTCACAATCTGCCCCCGCGCCGTCTCTCTCAGCCTCAGTCGTTGAAAGAATCCCTCACCACCTTTCCCCACACAATCTGACTGAATGAACTAGGTCCTCGACTCCTGGGACGCCGCCGAAGATTCCGAAGTAGAGCGCGAGAAGGCCGCCAAGGCAGCGGAGGCCAAGGCCAAGGCCGAAGCCGAAGCCGCCGCCAACAAGAAGAGCAAGGCACAGCGGATACAGGAAAAGAAGGCCCAGCGGAAGGCAGATGCCGATGCTGAGACTTCGGACGACAGCGACGAGGACGAGGCCGAGCGGAGAGCCCGTCTCCGCAAGACCGAGAAGGACGCCGACCTCAAGCACGCCGAGGACCTCTTTGGCGACATCGACCTGAACCGTATGCGCAATCGCAGCGCCCCCAAGGCCGTGGTCATCAGTGACTCGGCCGACCCGACCCAGGCCGTCGATCTCTCGGCTATGCCTCTCTTCAAGCCCGCCACCAAGGACCAGTTCACCCGCGTCACTACCACCCTTATCCCTCTGTTGACGACCCAGTCGAAGAAGCCCCAGTATGCTCTGTGGGCGCAGGACTTCGTCAAGCAGCTCGTCAAGGACCTGCCCAGTGGAGATGTCAAGAAGATCGCTTCTTCGCTGACCACCCTCAGCAACGAGAAGATGAAGGAGGAGCGTGCTGCCGATAAGGGTAACAAGAAGACCAAGGCGGCCAAGACCAAGGTCTCCCTGGTCACCTCTAGAGAGAACAGGATTGAAACCAACTCTTATGATGATGATGGGTTGGATGACGATGACTTCATGTGATTTTGTTATTTAGAACATTTCTATTTCCCTTTTCTTTTTTTTTTTCTTCTCAACCACCAAACCAATCCCCTTAACTTATCTGCTTCATTTGCTTCTAGTTTCTCGTCTATTATTCTTCTATGCTCTTCTCAATTATCCACTCCATATCTTTGCTAGACCGGCTTGCGCCCTGACATGCATCATATAAAACCATGTCCATTTGTCCTCATCTGTTTTGTATATCCGTCATATAAAAATGTCTTTTTTTTTTTCTTCTATTACTTATCTTTCGCTATTTGGCTTCCTATACGGTTTTTATAAGGCATGGTTCATCTCTCCCGTACATATGCGTGGGTAGCATATATATTCCCAGCTAGTACTTATAGAAGCTGTCGCAGTTGTTCGCTTACTAAGTCTATGGTTCTTACTAACTATAAAATGTTCATCTTGGGACGTAGTGTTAACGAGTACTGGGAGGTGATGAGGTAGTATATGTGCTGTATGGGGAGTGGGTGGCAGTAAGTGTGTAAGACGGCTATTTATCTTTACGGCGGTGCTAAACTTTCAACGGTGGTAGCAGTAATGGGATCGCGGCTCTCGAGGAGAATACAAGATCTATCAGTTATTCGTTGATAATTCGAATCCCGCTAGGTATCGGGGCATGGGATTGAGAGAACTGGTTACTTTGATTTGAGATATTGTAAAACTTAAGGCTCTTAACACGTACGAGCGAAACAGCAGGGGGAAATCGGGAAAAGGGGCGTGGGGTGAATAAAAAAGTTGAAATAAGACACTGTATCTTGCTGGGGGTGAATAAAGAGAGAATAAAAGAGAGGTAAATTCCACTCAGCCCCTTTTCTTCGCTCTCCAAACATCAAACTCCGCCGGCCGACCCACAGGATCCCGAACAAGTGGAAGATATGTGCCGGTCCAGACCCTTCGCACAGCTAAAAGCAGACCTTCATAAGCGTTTCCGGGTAGTATTCGCACACCTGAACTGGCACGTCGGGGACACAACTGTTTTTGATACACAAGAACACACACCACCCCTCTAGGACTCAGGGGCAGCGGGCTTGGGCTCCTCGGCCTTGTCCTCGGGGGCGGCGGCGGTCTCCTCCTCGGGCTTGTCCTCCTTGGGGGCAGCACCCTCGGCATCGTTGCCATCAGAAGAGGTCCACAGAGTGAGGTTGTCACGCAGGAGCTGCATGATCAGGGTGCTGTCACGGTAGCTCTCCTCCGAGAGCGAGTCGAGCTCCGCAATGGCGTCATCGAACGCCTGCTTGGCAAGGTGGCAGGCACGATCGGGGGAGTTCAGGATCTCGTAGTAGAAGACGGAGAAGTTCAGGGCGAGACCAAGGCGGATGGGGTGGGTGGGGGTAAGATCAGTCTGGGCGACATCGGTAGCATTCTGTATGATTATTAGTGCGAGTCCTCCAGTATAGCACGCAACTTGAAGAGCTCACCTTGTAAGCCTCGTGGGCGGCGGTGGCAGCGACCTTGCGCTTGTTGCCAGAGGCAAACTCAGCGAGGTAGCGGTGGTAGTCACCCTTCCTATAGTTCGTACAACAGTCAGCCGCTGCTCTCTCTATACCTGCCAGTAAATGTTCGTTCCCTGGAATCCAAGACTCACATCTTGTAGTAGAAGACCTTAGACTCGCCAGTCTCGGCCTTGGGGATAAGGGACTCGTCCAGAACGTCGAGGACATCCTGGCAGACCTTCTCGAGCTCGGTCTCGATCTTCTGGCGGTAGTCACGGATGATCGAGACGTGCTGCTCAGAGCCCTTGGACTCCTCCTTCTGCTCAATGGAGGAGATGATACGCCACGAGGCACGGCGAGTACCGACCACGTTCTTGTAGGCAACGGAGAGAAGGTTACGCTCATCGACGGAAAGCTCGCCTCCAATCTGATGCGGGGTCAGCTTGATCCACGGGTAAAAGGGGGTTACGGGGGGAAAAAGGGGGGGCTTCTCGTCAGACGGAGGTAAGGGGGGTCATACGTTGGCGACTTCCTGCAGAAGAGTTAGCGATTATGCTTGTTGAGGGCCCAGGGGCTGACAGGCGGCTACTGACCTTCATGTACGTGACCATCTCTATAGGCGGTAGGGATCAGCATGTGAAGCCAACATGGCAGAGCAGTAAACAGGCATCTTACCATCGTAGCGCTCAGCCTGCTCACAGAGCCGGGCGAGGAACGTCTTGCTGCAGAAGGGTGTAGTGTCAGTGTTGCTGTTGTCGGGTCACTGGTCGAGACGGGTCTGGATCCTTACTTCTCACGCTGCAAGTAAAGGGGGGGAAGAACAGTTAGCTGAGTCCAGACTAATCGCGACGCAACAACTGAGAAAACACAAGAGAATTTCCCGACATCGGAATACATGCGGCTAGGGATTAAAGGGCTACAACTGGACGGACGCCAGGTGAAGCCGCCAGAGCAGAGAGAGGGGTCAGGCTGAGGGGGTGGAATAACATACCTCAGAAGTCATAGTAGGCGATCTGATGGAGATAAGGGGATTGGGAAAGACGGTGGTTGGTTTGGTAGAGGGTGAAAAGGAGAGAGTAGAGGTGCAAGATACCGAAGTAGAGCACGAGACAACGGAGAATGGGATGAAAAGAAGATGGCAATCACGAGAGGTTTGGCAGATGTGATCCTCCAGCAACGAGTGATGGACGGTGAAGGTGACGACCAGCCAGCTTTAGCGAGAAGCGGGCGCCTCGTCTGTTTGCGATGTTTGCTCTTGCAGCCTCAGGCAGCATAATGGTGAGTCAGCAAGCAAATCTCCTGCTGGTCACCTGCTTCCGCCGGTCACTGGACCCTGACGTAATCTAACAATAATCACTCCGGGTTTAAAAGCCAACTAGGCAAATAATGGTTAGTGCCTCCTTAGTTGAGCGGTCGCTCTCAATTATTAGTGAAAGGCTCCCAATTATGCGGCATAGTAACATCCTAACAACCCCCAAACGGGAGAGATTATATAGTAGCATAGTAGGAGCTGTAAATAGAGATCTCCAGAAATTCATGGCCCGGAATCGACTGAGGCAGCCATGAATACTTCAAGAGCCTGGGTGCAAGAGTTAAAAATCATAAGAGGGCGGCTAATGATACCAGTTCATGTGGGAGATAGATCATACTCATTTTCCCGTTGAGTTGAACCATCATGCTCTTCCATTCATCAGGACCAGCATCGCTCTGGTCCCCTTTGCCTTTTTAACTGCCAAGTTCGTCCTATTCTCCCGGTTATTCTCTACCGCACAACCGGTGAAGATGTTATACGTCGCGCTTCTCCACCCTCAACGGGCTGTGGTACCCTGAGCTGTGCTCCGTATCTCCGATGATCGTCTATTCAGAACCGCACGAGACGAAAAAAAAAAAGATGTTGAGAGCCCGGCAGATGACAAGTTCACCGGTTATTGCCCGATTCAAAAAGAAACCCTTGATTTACTATCCCATTTAGGCTGACCGTGCTTTTGGCCATGCAAACTAAGAGACAACTATGGGTCTCCCTACTACTAAATACACCCTTCCTGAGCGGAGATTACGCAGGACTGCAACAACCACCGAAACAGGCGGGCTGCTGAGTCAAGACATTGAAGTTTCAAAAGGAGAACCACCAATATACCGCTGGATGGTATGAAATCACCTTCTGGAGCAGCGTGGACGGGCCCTCTGCCCTACAGGGCGTCTACAAGCTGTCGTACCGTTTGGTGTGGATGGGTGGAAGATCGATGACTTGTTTGGGGCAGGTGCTCTGGGTCCGATACCATGGCGGAAAGCACGGAATCGAATCAAAATCTACGAGAGACAAGAGGCCTCCACCGGTGTTATGCAGCACCTTCCAATCCGAGGAGTGAGACCCCGCTAAATGAGCGCCAAATGAACCAGGATGACTGCGAATTGTATGGAACGAGTGGTTTTAGTTCGAGTCTTCGGGTCAGCCAGGAAGGCATCATCGTTTCGCAGTGGAGAGTGTATGGTATTGTTATGGCCGAGCGGTGGGTTTCTCGCTTGCAGAGAGAGAAGAGAAAGAGAGACTTGAGATAACGCCGAGAATGAAAATGGATACGTAGGAAGATTATTTAGAACTATTTAGAAGGCTGTGCAATGTTGGGGGGAGAATGCGTCCCTTTTTTAAATTTCTTTTCTTTTTTTTTCTTCACCCTTTCTTTCCCTAATTGATCAGTTTTATTTTCTTCGGCTTATTAATTTTTCATGAACTTTCATGAACATGAAAGATAACAGATACACAGCTATAGAACCTTTGTAGGAAGATGAGTGTAATAATCCAGTCGTAAAGACTACTAAACAGGCCAAGTGACTCCAACGCCCGGACACACAGAAGCACGGTCATGGTATGGTTCAGCCCTGTCGGATTGGAACCGGCAATTCTGGCGCAGCGACGGGGGGGGGGGGGGGGGGACCAGATAGATCCAGACACCGCAAATGAAGAGAACACGTTGAGTGCCTGACAAAGCCGCCTCTGGTTCACGGTTCCCGAGCCCCCAGAGGCAAAATCCCTGGCCCATCATTCGGTCCTTGTATGGAATGGGGAATTTATTTATAAATTATAAATCAGCAAATTTTGCCATCTTCTCAAGAAAATCACAAGACACCAAGAGGATACCCTGTTTTTTTCTTTTCTTTCTTACTTACTTCATTTCCTTCCTTCCTCCTTGGCTCTGACGGTATCTGGTGTATTGATTGGTCTTGCCCGGTATTATTAACAACGGTACTATCTGGTGTGTCCGCTTTCCGCTGCCCATCCTAACCTACTATCTATCTACTACTCTTCTAGATCCTTCCCGTTAAGGGACTAACCTCTCCGACTTGATTGCAGTGCCACTCACTAGGTCCCAAGCTTTCGGCCACTTGGCGTTCATGTCTTGATCTGGGTTATATCCCCGGTCTCTTCCCTTCCTTTTCTCTCTCTTCTCTGTTGTTCCCGCTCCAGGCCACCTTGCGCTTTTTCGGGGTCCCAACAACATGGAGCACTCCTACCTCTATTCACCAGCCGAAGTGCTGGACCATTTTGACGTCAAGGAGAGCTCTGGTCTGTCGCAACAGCAGGTCTCTCAATCGAGGAAAAAGTACGGTCCTAACGGTATGTTGCAGCTTTCCTCCCCCACGGGCAATGTCGCAGGCACTAACTTGCGGTTCGAATCTTCATAGCCCTTGCGGAAGAACCACCAACCCCTCTCTGGCAACTTGTGCTGGAACAATTCAAGGACCAATTGGTCCTGATTCTACTGGGCTCCGCTGCTGTATCTTTTGTTCTGGCTCTTTTCGAAGAAGGAGATGACTGGTCCGCCTTTGTTGACCCCGTTGTGGTATGAGCTCGAAAGCCTCCCGAGTCTGGCGCGCCTCGACCCAAGACACTAACGAACCCTGTTATTCCATAGATTTTGACGATTCTGATTCTCAATGCCGTGGTTGGTGTTACCCAGGAGAGCAATGCTGAGAAGGCTATTGCTGCTCTTCAGGAATACTCTGCAAACGAAGCTACTGTTGTCCGTGATGGCGTTACCAAGCGTGTCAAGGCCGAAGACCTGGTTCCCGGAGATATTGTCGTCGTTGCGGTTGGAGACCGTGTTCCAGCGGATTGCAGGCTACTTGCCGTTCACAGCAACAGCTTCCGAGTGGATCAAGCCATCCTGACCGGTGAGAGTGAAAGTGTGAGCAAGGACGCCCGCACTGTTCATGACAAGCAGGCCGTTAAGCAGGATCAAACCAACATGCTCTTCTCTGGTACCACTGTTGTTAATGGACACGCTACCGCCATTGTGACTTTGACCGGTGGATCAACCGCCATTGGTGACATTCACGAGAGCATCACCTCTCAGATCTCGGAGCCAACGCCACTGAAGCAGAAGCTCGATGATTTTGGAGACATGCTGGCCAAGGTAATTACCGTCATTTGTATTCTGGTGTGGCTCATCAACATCGAGCATTTCAACGACCCTTCCCATGGAGGCTGGACTAAGGGAGCCATCTACTATCTTAAGATCGCGGTGTCTCTGGGTGTGGCTGCCATTCCCGAGGGTTTGGCTGTGGTCATCACCACGTGTCTCGCACTTGGTACCCGCAAGATGGCTCAGAAGAATGCAGTGGTCCGTTCGCTTCCCTCCGTCGAGACTCTCGGCAGCTGCAGTGTGATCTGCTCCGACAAGACCGGAACCTTGACCACCAACCAAATGAGCGCAGAGAAGATCGCGTATTTGAATGCAGCCGGCAACGGTGTTGAGGAGATTGATATTGAAGGCACTACTTTTGCGCCTGAAGGTAAAGTCACTCGCGGTGGAAAGGAACTCCAGAACGTTGCCGTGTCCTCGGCCACTGTCCGACAGATGGCGGAGGTCATGGCTCGCTGCAACAGTGCGACTTTGGCCCACGATGCGAAGAACGGCTCATTTTCCTGTATCGGTGAACCTACTGAGGGTGCACTGCGTGTTCTGGTCGAAAAGATTGGCACCGATGATGCCGCTACGAATGCGAAGCTGTTCCGTCTCCCCGTCTCCCAGCGACTCCACGCCGCAAGCGCGTACTACGAAGCTCGCCTGCCCTTGAAAGCAACCTACGAATTCTCGCGTGACCGGAAGAGCATGTCCGTGCTCATTGGAAATGATAAGGAACAGAAGCTACTCGTCAAGGGCGCTCCCGAGTCTATCTTGGAGCGGTGCACACATGTTCTTCTTGGATCTGACGGCAAACGGGTGTCTCTCACCAAGTCTCATCTTGATAGGCTCGCTGCTGAAGTTGTGGGCTACGGTAGCCGTGGTCTTCGTGTGATGGCTTTGGCTAGTGTCGACGGTGTCAACAACAACCCTCTGCTTCACAACGCTCAATCGTCCCAAGACTATGCCCAGCTGGAACAAAACATGACCCTTATCGGACTTGTCGCTATGCTCGATCCCCCACGCGCTGAGGTCGCAGCTTCCATCAAGAAGTGCCACGATGCTGGAATTCGGGTTATCGTCATTACCGGTGACAATCAGAACACCGCTGAGTCGATCTGCCGTCAGATTGGTGTCTTCCACGAGGGCGAGGACCTCAAAGGCAAGAGCCTCACTGGAAGGGAGTTTGACGGCCTTTCGGAGGCTGAGAAACTCGAGGCTGCTAAGACTGTGTCTTTGATTTCCCGCACCGAGCCTAGCCACAAGTCCAAGCTGGTCGATCTTCTCCAATCTCAAGGCCATGTGGTTGCCATGACTGGTGACGGTGTCAACGACGCCCCTGCCCTGAAGAAGTCGGATATTGGTGTGGCTATGGGAACAGGAACCGACGTTGCTAAGCTGGCTGCTGATATGGTTTTGGCCGACGACAACTTTGCCACCATCACCGTGGCTGTGGAAGAGGGACGTTCCATCTACAGCAACACTCAGCAGTTCATCCGCTACCTGATCTCTTCGAACATCGGCGAAGTGGTGTCGATCTTCTTGACCGCCGCCTTGGGCATGCCTGAAGCCTTGATTCCCGTGCAGCTTCTCTGGGTCAACCTTGTCACCGATGGCTTGCCTGCTACTGCGCTCTCCTTCAACCCCCCTGACCATGATGTGATGAGACGCGCCCCCCGCAAGCGCGACGAGCCCCTGGTTGGCGGCTGGCTTCTGTTCAGATACATGGTGATCGGTACTTATGTTGGTGCGGCTACTGTCTTCGGCTACGTTTGGTGGTTTGTGTACAACCCTGAGGGTCCTCAGATTTCCTTCTGGCAATTGGTAAGATATGCGTCGTCTAGTCTACTGATTTGGTTTTCATCCCGGCCTTGCTAATTTCTATGTAGTCTCACTTCCACAAGTGCTCCTCTCAGTTCCCTGAGATTGGGTGCGAGATGTTCTCGAACGATATGTCCCGCTCGGCCTCTACTGTGTCTCTTTCGATCCTGGTCGTCATTGAGATGTTGAACGCCATGAACGCACTCTCGTCCAGCGAATCCCTTCTTACGTTCTTCCTCTGGCACAACCCCATGCTGGTCGGTGCCATCATCCTTTCGATGGCGTTGCACTTTGCGATCCTGTATGTGCCCTTCTTGCAGGGTTTGTTCTCGATCCTGCCCCTGGGCTGGATGGAATGGAAGGCCGTCGTGGCCATTAGTGTCCCGGTTGTGTAAGTCAATCTCTTGAATCCCCCCTACCTGGCGAGAATGTTTGCTGACCGAAACCAACTAGGCTCATCGATGAGGTTCTCAAGTTTGCGGAACGTCGTCTGTACAATAACGTCCCAGCAAGATCTACCGTCGCACAACAGAACGGAGGAGTGGGGAAGCCTAAGCGGGCGTAGATTTGAGCAACGAAGTGATGACTCGAATATGAGGGGGTGCATTGATGATAGATATAGATATCGGCCCTCCAGCCCTGTTATATTTTGGTTTTCTGCTGTTGGGTGGTTGATTACATGTACGTAAAACATGTTGAATGTTCTGATTGCATAAGAACAACGAAGAGACGACTTGTGTCTGTATCTGAATTCTCCTGGATAGTGATTATCTGATCGTATACAAGTTTGGGGAGTAATTGACGGTCACGTTGTCCAAGCCCCGTGACGTGGACAGAGGCCAATACAGCCATTGCCTCAAAATAAGAAAAGTAGCACTACCACCCGTACTCTGGACCCAGCAATTGCGATCTCACTTGCGACTGGCTGAACCCGGCTAAATCCACTTAGTGGCCTCACATCAATGACTTTCCCCTTGCTAGCAGGCAGCAAGCTCTGATTATGTCGCATATGCAGCTGAACGTGCATGGTCAGTCTTGTCAGTCGGGTTATTAGCCTAATTCCCGCGACTGCGCAGTAAAGAGGAGCAAAAAGGATATAAGGATGGAGGGACGACAAATGGGGAACTTGGAAAGCCACCTTAACCTTTCCTTTTTACCACTAGCAGGGCAAGCCAAAGCCAATAAGCCATCATCGCTAACTATTCTCAAGTCACCCAACCAGACTCTGATCGATGCGGGGGAAACCGCCGAGATGAAGTTCACGGCTGCTGCTGCTGCTACCCGCCACTATCCATGACCCTCGCGCTTCACGAGGAATGTTACCCTGAATTGGACGCACCTCGAGCAATCGGGCTGACCTCTAACGGCTAAAGATTGGCTGCGCTACAACTCATGGGATGTCGGCCCGTCTCGACTCCTCACTGGTGGATTCTAACCGGTGATCCTTTCCAAGGATTGTCTGGATTTGTGGGGAAGAAGTCTGGGGATGGCGGTGCTACTGCCCGTCTTTACGCTTGGCTGGGCCTACAGCACCAATTCTAGTGAGAGGGGAATGAGGGGGACTCTGGGGAGAAGAGAAAGAGTGTATTTTCTGGGGTGATGCCAAGGAATATGCTCACATGGGTTGCAAACTTGATGCCCTCATGCTGAACGAAGTATTAGTACATAAGGAGCTAGGGTGCCAATGTCTGGGGCTTCTTCTGGCGCTTGAATCCCTGCAAGCATTGCTTGTCTTTCCTTTCTCCCACTGCTTCGGTATATTTCTCTTTTACTTTACTACAGTTTCACTTGCTTTTATCTATCTCCTTCCATCACTGCTCTGGGCTTAATCTTTCCTCCCCCACAGCATGGGGTTCCTAAACTTCCTCAAGACCCGGTCTGGGTTCCGGATTGATAATAGCAGGACTACTTCTGCAGCTACCCTGACCTTACGCCAAAGTCTTTGGCCCTTGACCCTTGTTACTATACTCTTCTTTCTCTGGGTAAGCTGTGCACACCAGCAGCCCAACAATTACTCGATTCGATCTGCTAACCCAACTTTCAACAGGGCTTTGCCTACGGCCTGCTCGACACCCTCAACAAACATTTCCAAAACACTCTGAATATCACCCGGACACGCTCCTCGGGTCTTCAAGCAGCCTACTTTGGGTCAGACATTTGCTAAGCTA